TGGTTGCCATGGCAAGAGTCCCTGGCAATGGACTGATAGTTCAAGTGCTGGTTGCTATGGCAACAGTCCCTACCGATGTCTCTCTGAGTCTGTTTCTCCAGCACTGCCCCTCACACCTGGTTCCATTGCTAATTGTGGTGACATCTGAGCATCTGCAGGACAGGGTACAACCCAGAGAGCAAAAGGGACCAAACTCCTGGGCTGAGGCACAGACAGTTCCATGGGAGCAGCAAAAATCAGGAACTCCCTCCCTGCTTCCCACAGGCAGGAGGGTGTTCAGCTTCCCCTCGGGAGCAGGGCTCCACCTCAGGGAATGGTGACTTTGGGACACAAACACCATCGCTCCCAGTGTTCCCTCCTTCCCCAGTCTGCCCTCCTTTCCCACACCTGACAATGATGCCACATGGTCTGGGAGATTGCTGGGGTCAGTTGGGGTCACCTGTCCTGGTTGTGCCCCCTCCCAACTCCTGGTGCACCTCCAGCTCCCTTTGCTGGCAGGACAGGATAAGGAGCAGGAAAGGCCTTGGCTCTGGGCAGAAACAAAAACCTCCCAGAATTTTCCCCCCTGTTCCCAGCCCAGTCTCAGAGAAGCCCCCTGGAAGGAAACTTACTCCCTCCAAGCCCAAACCATCTCCCAGTGCTCATTCCCCAGCACCAGGTCTCACAGGGTCAGTGCTGTGCCCCTGCCCCAGCAACAGGGCATTGGGATGGTTGCCATGACAACCAACCTTAGCAATTGATTCTTATATTGCTTGCCATGGCAACCAACCTTTCAATAAGATTGTGGGATGGTTTCCATGGCAAAAAACTCATGGAAGTGCCCACGAGTGAGGTCCCTGGCAATGGATTTATTAATGGTTGCCATGGAAACTGCAGCAATGGTCTCCCTGCAGGTTGTCATAGCAACCACCATAGTAATGGGTCTTTTTGATGGTTGCCATGGCAACCAGACTTAGCAACAGGTCTCAGTGCAAGTGTCCATGACAACAGTCTCTGGCAATGGGTTTCTACAATGATTGCCAGGACAGCTGACCCAAGCTGCCACGGAAATGTCACAGATCCAGAATTCCATGGCACAAGCCCATAGTAATGTGCCCTAATGCAGGTTTCCACGGCAACCAACTATCACAACTGGTCCNCCACCAAGTGCACTACAAAGCCAAAGCTTCCAGTCTTTCTTTCCTGGGGATAATGGCTGTTGTTTCCTGTTTTCAGTCCTGCCACCCAACTGACAGCCTGACTCTCAAAATTGCATACGAACAAAGATTCCTCCCACACCAAAGGTGCCAGCACAGACAGCTCTTGCTGCTCATGGAGTCCCCAGGCTGACACACCAACTGCACCACAAAGCCAAAGCTTCCAGGCTTTCTATCTTGGGGATAAGGGCTTTTGTTTCCTGTTTTCAGCCCTGCCTCACAACTGACAGCCCTACTCCCAAAATTGCATACAAACAAAGACTCCTCCCACACCAAAGGTGTCAGCACAGTAAGCTCTTGCTGCCCATGGAGTGAGTGCCCAGGCTGACACACCAACTGCACCACAAAGCCAAAGCTTCCAGGCTTTCTTTCCTGGGAATAAAGGCTGCTGTTTCCTGTTTTCAGCCCTGCCTCACAACAGGCAGCCAGACTCCCAAAATTGCATACGAATGAAGATTCCTGCCAGAACAAAGGTGCCAGCACAGAAAGCTCTTGGTGCTCATGGAGTGCCCAGGCTGGCCCACCCATTGGACCACAAAGCCAAAGGTTGCAGGCTTTCTTTCCTGGGGATAAGGGCTGTTTCCAGTCTTTCTTGCCTGGCGTAATGACTATTGTTTCATTTTTCAGATCTGCCTCCCAAGTGCCAGTCCGACTCCCAAAATTGTATACGGATGAAGATTCCTCCCACACCAAAGGTGCCAGCGCAGAAAGCTTTTGCTGCCAATAGAGTGCCCAGGCTGACCCAAGAAGTACACCAGAAAGTCAAAGCTTCCAGTCTTTATGCCTGGTGTAATGGATGTTGTTTAATTTTTCAGATCTGCCTCCCAACTGCCAGCCCAACTCCCAAAATTGCATACGGATGAAGATTCCTCCCACACCAAAGGTGCCAGGACAAAAAGCTCTTGCTGCCCATAGAGTCCCCAGGCTTGCCCACCAACTGCACCAAAAACCCAAAGCTTCCAGTCTGTCTTCCCTGCCGATAAGGGCCCTTGTTTACTCTTTTTTACCGTTCCTTCAAAATGACAGCCCGACTTCCAGAATTGAATACAAAGATATCTCACAGACTAAAGTTTCCAGCACAGAAAGCTCTTGCTGCTCATGCAGTGCCCAGCCTTGCCCACCAACTGCACCACAAAGCCAAAGCTTCCAGTCTTTCTTTCCTGGGGATAAGGGCTGTTGTTTCCTGTTTTCAGACCTA